CAAGTGCTCCACACTCCGCCTTACGCGCCAAGTGGTCGGGGGTACTGTGTCGGACAGAAGCAAAAAGCGCCGGTGGAAAATCAGCAATATGGCGAAGGGTCCGACGAGGCATGAGCTTACTGAGTTTCTGTGCCCTCGCTTTAGTGGTTCAAACATGATGACCTTCATTGCGTGTCGCAAATGCACGAAGTTCTGCGTTCCGTCTAAAGCCGACAAAGAAGTTTGTAAACCGGAAGCTCGTCGCGAGAACCTTGAGAGGAAACGTAAGTTGTGGGGCAGGCTGCGCGTGGAGTGGCCTGAATACGTTGAGCATGCGGGTAACGCTTGGTGCCTCACGGAGGATGAGGTTGACATGCTTGAGGAAATGTGCCGCCGACAGCATGCGAGCAAGTGGAAGCGAGTGGAGCCACTCACTCACTCACAGTGGCTTCGCGAATTGCGTGAGGAGGGAGTCGAACCGCATCCTGGACCGTGTCGCTTGCGCTTGGGCTTCCTTAACTGTAACGGCATCAGCAACGCGTACAGGGCGGTGCCGTACGCGAGCCAACAGAAGTGCCACGTGTTTGTCCTGGCCGAGACTCAGGCGGCAGGTTTCCAGGCTCAGCAGCTCACTCAGGCTTTCCAGAGGCAGGGCTTCCGTGTGTTCGCTGTTGAAGGTTGGTCCGGGCAGGACACCTTGGGGCGTCGCTTTGTCCGTGGTGGCATGCTGGTGGCGGTGCTTGCAAACATCAAGGCCCGATGTATTCGAGCCCATACGTCCCAGCAAGGGGATCTGCTTACGATTGACTTCATGTCTTTCTACGTTGCTCTTGGCTGGCAGCGTGAAAACGGGCTCTCCGACGGAGGCTTGGATGAAGAGCTCATGGTGTCTAGGCATCTTGCTGACGACAAACAGCTGCCGTGGTCCGCCGTCGGTGATTGGAATGTCCTCCCTCACGAGCATGCTTGTGTTGCTCAGGATGGTTTGCGGTGGTTGGCGCCGTGTGAGCAAGGCCAGCCCGTAGCTTCTCGATACGACTCCGACAGGTGCATCGACTTCGCGGTCCTTGGGCCCGGCTCGCCTTGGCGTGACGCTCGCTTTGGGGAGGAGCGCCTCTCGGACCACAAGCCCTTGCTGTTGGACGGTGAGTTGCTTCCGTACCGCGAGTCTGTGGTTTACATGCGGCCCACGCGTGACTTGAGACCGCCTGAGACCGTTGAAGCGCTCGAGTGGTCTGCTGAAGTGGCTCGGGCTTGGGCGAAACGGTCGGTTCTCGCTCCTTGTGGGGACCCGAATCGCGACTGGAAACGTTTTAGCGCCCGGCTTGAAGCGTGCCTTGACGAAGCTCTGGTGTTCTTCGGCCACCCCGTGACCGCCGGCTCTGCTAGGATCAAAGGCTCGATACCTTCCCTCATGAAACTTGGTGAATATCGTCGTTTTGTCCATGTCGACCCCAGCTTTCGTGGGCGCAAGCTTGCAAAGCTGTTGGCCCGGTTGCATGAAGCTCATCGTCAAACGCTTGCGGGCGCGGTTGTTGATCCTGGCTTGTGTGCGGCTATCGCCCGGACCTGGCCCCGGGACTTCGGGGTGCTGCCGTCGTACGATCAGGCGCTTCCTCTTGTCAAGGACAGGCTGCAGGCTTTGCGGGATCAAGAAACGAGTCACCGGCTTGCGACCTGGAAGAAGCGAATGACTCGTGCGGGGCCTCACGCCTCGAGGTGGCTTAAAGGGCAAGCTTCTGTTGCGCCGCACTCGCTTCTGGAGGTCTCACAGGACCATGAGGCTGACTGTCTTGCCACGGCTTCCATGGATGAAGCCTTCACGGCGTTGAAGAGCTTTTGGCGTGACATTTGGGATCGGCCCGATGTGCCGGAAGAGTTGACTCGATTGCGGGAAGGGCGTTTATCCAGGCCCCCTGGGCAGCGCATGAGTGACGATTGGAGGCTCACGCCTGAAGAGTTCCGTCGGCATCTCAAGAAGAGGATGTCTGGCGCTCCTGGCGCTGACGGGTGGAAGCCGGAGGAGCTTGCCTCCTTTCCGCAGGATACTTGGCGCACTTTTCTTGGCTTGTGGGAAGATTGGTGCACGCGCAAAGTTTTCCCCGACAACCTGCAGCACTCCAAGCAAGTCTTTCTTCCTAAAGAAGAGGTCCTTTCCGACGTCACGCCTGTTGATAAGCTTCGGCCGATCTGCATTCAGCCGGTTCTGTGTCGTGTCCTGGCCAGCTGCATGGCGGAGCGCGCCCAAGCTTGGATCCTTGCGAAGGTGTCTGCTGACACTCACGGTGCGCTCAAGGGCCGCGGCGTTGAGGCAGCTGTTCTCTCCTTGGACGCTGCCCTGTCTCGTGATGACATACTCATGAGTTTGGACGCCTATAAGTGCTTCGATTTCATGTCACCGGAGCTTTCAGTCGGGTTGCTTGAACACGAAGGTATGCACCCACAATGGGCGCAACACCTGAGTCACATGTGGGGGTGTCAACACAGATGGCTGCAGTTCAGTGGCGCCACTGATGCCTGCCCGTCCGTGGTTAGCAACTCTGTCCCGCAGGGTTGTGCCATGGCGCCGATGGCGCTGGTTTGTATGCTCTTGGAGGCCACCAGGGCTGTGCAGGCCTCTGCTGCCGGGGCTAAGCTGCAACAGTCGGTTTTCGTTGATGATCGCACGCTTGTTGCCTCTGATCCTACCGTCGCGCTTGGGGCTTGGACTTGTTGGGGCCAGTGGTGCGGCAGACTCGGTCTCAAGGAAAATTTGAAGAAACTTGCGGTTGTCTGCAGAGTTCCGTGGAAGCGCAGAGTGCTTGTACAAGGGGGCATCCCGGTGAGGAGCTTCACGGATTCGACGAGAGTCCTCGGAGTTGATTTTGACGTGGGGGAGGCCGGGCTTGGTGTTCCCACGCATGATGCGCGTGTTGTCAAAGCTGAGCGGGTGTTGCAGCGACTTGCCCGTGCTCCGCTTGGGGCCCGTCTGAAACGCTTGTTGTTTCGCACGCGTGCTTCGCCTCTCCTTGCGTGGGGAGTGTGGTTCCACAGTGACAACAAAAAGGAAGATGCGAAGCTGACCACTCGGATCAAGAGGCTTCTTGGTCGGGTGACTACCATGGGCTCGCGTGATCTGTGGATGTTGCTTGAAGGGCCTTGGGTTTCTAGTTGCTTTGCGGCTGGGACCTCCGCTGTTGCTGGCCTTGTGCGGGCCCGTGAGTACTGGATTACTCGTGGCGTTGTGCTGCCAGGTGCACGTTGGCAGAAGCGGGTCGACAAGTTCCTGACCGCGAGTGATTTTCAACAGGCCCTGCCGGGGCAATGGGTGCATCCGGGTGTGGGCGTCATTGACATCACAGGCGCTCAGCCGAGGGCGCAACTTGGTCGTGCGCTGCATCTTCTCCGCGAGGCTTACAGGCGGAGACATCTTCAAGTCTTCTTACGGAGTGATCGCCGGGATGCAAGGGCTCTTAGGCCGGTTGTGGGTTACTGCGAGCTTCAGGTTAAGGCCGCTGCTGCGCTGTATGCGCGTTCATGCACGCATGGACGTGCGGTGCTCCATGGTGGTGCTGTTAGTTCGGCTGTGTTTGGCGCCATTAAGGATGGAGCCGCCATGGCTGGATGTCCTTGGTGTGATCGTCAGCAGGTTCCTACGTGGGACCACCTCTGCTGGGAGTGCTCGTACTTTTCCGACGGCCGCCCTGGTGTACCGCAACACCCTCTCGGGCGCCGACTTGGATGGCCTGGTGGTCAGGGAGATCGCGCCGCGAAGTTGGTGCTGCAACACATGGCTCGGGTGCGCCGTGCGGTCTTGGAGCGACATGGAACCCACGTCTTTGACGAGGGCTCCACTGCAGCTGAGCAGTGATTGGGAGCGGGGGCGCTGCGCTCATCCTTCGGGGTAGGGCCATCGTCCGAGCAAGACCTTTGTCAGACTACAACATCCAGAAGGAACAGAGATGCCGATTTGGGATGGTTTTTAGTTTCCGTAATTGGTTGATTATAGCACGCTAAGTCTGAGTCGTTGCGGGGGCTTGTTGAAAATCGATACCTAGGAGAGCACCTTGCACTTGGTGCTGCGTCTCCGTGGTGGCATGCAGATCTTCGTCAAGACGTTGACTGGCAAGACCATCACCCTGGACGTCGAGGCCGCAGTCCAAAACGTTAGAACCGGATCACAAAAAGCTTAAGTCCGGATAAGGGGAAAGCTAGTTTGTTTCATCGGTTTCTTTGACCCGTCGGCGGGTCGAGGCCTCCGACGCGATCGACAATGTCAAAGCCAAGATCCAAGACAAGGTGCCTGGTTTCCATTCTTAAAGTGTTCGTATTCTTGTTCCGATCACATCGAAAGGCAGGGTTGCTTTATATGCATCGTGTTAAGTTGCTGGCATAAGTTTCAGTGGTGCTTAAAGTTCCACGCATGTGAACCCAAGGAGGGCATCCCGCCTGACCAGCAGCGCCTCATCTTCGCTGGCAAACAACGCCCATCTGTCAGACTACAACATCCAGAAGGAACAGAGATGCCGATTTGGGACGGTTTTTAGTTTCCGTAATTGGTTGATTATCGCACGCTAAGTCTGATGAGTCGTTGTGGGGCTTGTTGAAAATCGGTACCTAGGAGAGCACCCTGCACTTGGTGCTGCGCCTCCGTGGTGGCATGCAGATCTTCGTCAAGACGTTGACTGGCAAGACCATCACCCTGGACGTCGAGGCCGCAGTCCAAAACGTTAGAACCGGATCACAAAAAGCTTAAGTCCGGATAAGGGGAAAGCTAGTTTGTTTCATCGGTTTCTTTGACCCGTCGGCGGGTCGAGGCCTCCGACACGATCGACAATGTCAAAGCCAGGCACCGCTCAGCTCACCCTCAGTCTGTTGACATGGTGGTGCCGACAGTCTCCTCTTTGGAGGCTGCAGAGAGCTGTGAAGTTTGCGATGTGTGTGGTCCCTTGGGAGTCAGGTGGTGCTTTCAGGGAAGAATGCTCGCTGGCGATAAAACCCTTGCTGATTGTGGGGTTGGCCCTTTGGCTTGTCTGGAAGTGATGCCTCTGCTCAAGGGCGGCGGCGTCATTGGAAAGGATGCCAGGAACCGTCTGATGAGTGGCAAGCTTGACAAGGCACAGAGTGGATTGGATGCGCTGATCCACCAAGTGGAGCCGGCCAAGCTCAAAAAACTCGCTGAAGCCAAGACCACCACGGCTCGCGACTTGCTGAACTTGGCAAACAGCTGCAGCCCGCCGATGGCCTTTAGCTCTTCCTTCAGGGTCGATTCGACGAGGCCACCCAGAGCATCCTCGACCGAGAATGGCAAGGGCAAGGCGTCGGGAAAGGGCAACAACAAGGACTTCGATAAGGCCAAGGGCATGGACTTTGGCAAAGGTCATGGCAAAGGCGGTGGTGTGACCACCCCGGTGTCGATTGATGCGGCTGGCCTTGGCAACGTGCATGTGCTGCCGTCTTTGAAGCGCACTGGCGGTCCGTGCGCGGCTGGTGTCTTTCTTGCCGCGACCAAGGCTGCAGAGGACATTGTTCGAGAACTTCAGGCCGATCCCTGGCCTGCCCCTTTGGCGATCCTGGTGATGGGCAACCTCAAAACGATTGCGGCGCACTGGCAGGACTCTCAGCTGCTGGCCAAGGGAATTGAGGTAGCTGTGCCCACGTGCCAGGGCGCACGCAAGCTTGTGCGGAAAATGGTTGCGTTTCAGGTTGGCTCCGCTGCCCTGACCCTCCCCTCGCCTGCTGTCTTTGACTTGGAGGACGAGTTCGAATCTTACCAGACATGGAATATGCAGGTCAGGCAGCTTTGGGCCCCCGCCGAAATTTGGCAGGCTTGTTGTGCGCCACAGCCGGCCAAGCCCTCAGCGACAGGCCGAAAAATCTCTGCGGCCTCTTACCTCTCCGAGCTCCTTAAAACCCTCCTGCTTGCCAAGCTTAAGCTCACGGAGTGCACCGATGTGGAGGCCTGGAGTGGACGCAAGCATGGAGATGCGGACGGGCATGCCGGGTGCATCGACTCGTTGATTCGCATCCCCCGGCAGTACGAAGAGGCCTTGCGGCGTGCGTCAGGTCATGATGGCATCTTCTTTGAGCGCAAGTTTGTGTCCGAAGAGGCCAAGGAGGCGGAACGTGCAGTGCGGCCCCTGATTGCTGTTCCTGGCGAAGGCTGGGACCTTGATAAGATCCTGGTCACCTTGCGCGATACTGAGGGTGCTGAGGGCTTTGAGGTTTGGGGCAAGCGCTTGATGTTGCGGGTGCAGATTGATCATGAGCCGGCTGCTCGCTTCAAGCTCACGGGCAAGGAGCATGCACCCACTGACCTCCTGTGGAGGATGTCGGGTGTACCACACATTAAGCTGGCCCAGCTCGCTGATTTCCTGAAGGACCGGTTGCTCTGGGACATTGAGGAGATCATCTCTTTCCGGAAAAAGGATGCCGTTATCCGGGCGGCCTCGGCCCCTCCGACGGAGTACCAGTGTGGTGGCCAGGATTTCTGGTCCATTATCATGGGTTCTGAGGTGGTGACCATTCGCCAAATTGTTCCTCGGCACCGTCGGCAGGACAAAGGCCCGGTTGTGGACATCAACTTCGCTGCTACCAGCCGGCCCACACCTAAGGATTGGAGCAAGCTGCTGACGCCGGTGCCGCATCCCCCCTCCATGGGGGTTGACGATGCCGAGGACCCCGACCTTGAGGAGCCGCAAGGCGACGCGACCAACACCCCGGGTGCCCTAGGCCAGTTCCTGCGCTCCCACGCGATGCCCGGATCCACCGTTGACCAAGGTTGCCACGGAGCTCACCGAGTCGGCCCAGTTGCAGCTTCGGCAGGTGATTGAGAAGAGTGCGGAGGACAGTGCAGCGCAGCAGCGCTGGATTGAACAGGCCGTGGACAACAAGCTCGCGATTTTCCAGCAAGCTTTGGTGGACCAGCAGGCCACATGGGAGAAGGTGCAGGATCGCAAGCTCCAGGACCTCCAGGCCTCGCAGAAGGAGTTCCAGGACCTCACCCAGCAGGAGTTCCAGAATGTGCATGATACCGCTGCCACGCGGCACCGCGACCTTATGAACCAGATGACTTCGATGATGGCGGTGTTGCAGGCGCATGGGCCCTCTGGGGAAAAGCGCCCTGGTGACTTTCCTGAGCAAGCTGTTGCAAAGGCCAAGGCCATGCCGAGCGATTCGGGTGTCACGACTCCCTCCGCTTGACTAGGCCCAGGCAATGCTACGATTGAGATTGTGGACGCAGTGGATGAGAAGTGTTTTGACAAGGCCAGGTGTGAGGTGCTTCCACCTGGACTGGAAGCCCCTTTGTATAGCGAGTCTGCCTCTTTGCCACATGCTATCACCTGTGGTTTGCTTGTACAGGGGGATGGCAACCGGCATACGGCAGATGTTCTTCGAGGGCAGGGCCGACGTTCCTCTACCGGCTCCTCACCCTCTTTAAAAACTTTGACCTCGCGCTCTTGGGTGCCCACGTGCGAGGCGACAATCCGTTTGGGGCCGGGGCCCCGACCTTCCTCCATGGACTCTTGCGGTGGGCTTTGCAATGCCGCGGCTTCAAGTGGAACCTTGGAGGCTAAGGACGAACCGTGTTTTGACAGGGCCATGTGTGATGTGGTTCCACCTGGACCCGATGTTTTCTCGTATAGCAATTCAGCTACCTCGCCACTCGATGTCACCGCATGTGGTTTGTGCGTACAGGACGTTGGCACTCAGTGCGAGGCAGATGGTTTTCGAGGATGGTGCCGACGACCCTCTACCGGCACATGGTCCTCTTCATGCAGATTTGGGGCTTCGCGACGCTGTTCGGCACCGTTGTCTGTGTCTTCAGCTCGGCCGAGGTCTCAACCTCGGCGCTTTTCCAAGGCCTCAAGCGGTTTTCGAGAGTGTGGGCTCTTCTCGGCTGCTTGGCGGTGGTTGGCTCGACACGCTGGCTACCTCCTGTTCCTCGGCCTCTTTGTTTTCGATGCCGCGCTTTTAGCGGCACAACCTGTCAACTGGCAGGTGAGTTTCCTCGGAATTCGTTTGGGCGAAGCTGCTGTACCCGGCCACCGCCGTCGCGCTGCAAAGGGCTACAACTTGGCCAAAACAGTGCACAACTTGAGGCTTCGCTCCCACAACATGGGCGGGCTGCGCAGCTGGGACAAGAAAACCCAGCTTTGGTGCGAGGATGCAGTGGACGTGCACGCCATCCAGGAGACATGGGCCGATGCCAAGGACATCCTTGATGCTCGACGGCATTTCGCCAAACAAGGATTGCGATCCTTCTGGAGTGCTCCAGGGCCTACGCGCGGATGTGGCTCTGGAACTCTGGTGACTGTCTCCCGCCCTGCGGTTGAAAAGGACCACCTTTGGAACACCACGCGTGCTGCAGGCGCATGGATCGAAACCACTCAGGTGGACAATGGCTTCGCTGTCCTCTCCTTCTATGGCATTGCTGGCTCCAACGCCTGCAACACCAAGCGTCTGGAGACGGAGCGGCTACTGATTGCTCTTCTTAGCCATTTGGGGGCCTATAGACACAGGCCCATCTTCCTGTGCATGGACTCCAACTTGAGTTACGAGAAGAGCGACACCATGCAGGCCCTCACCAAGCTTGGCTGGACTGACCTGGCGGCTGGGCTTGGCGGCACTTTCAAGGCCAAACCTACGGATGCAAATCCTTGCAGTCGCATCGACTTTGTGTTTGCCAACCCTGCCGCAGCTGGACTGGTGCTGGACGTGCAGCTCCGTTGGCTGCCAGGCTTCCAGCATGCAGCTTTGGACATTGATCTTCACCTTGGCTTGGACACTGGACCGATCTCGAGGCTGCGAGCTCCTAAACGTATGCCCCGGGTGCCTACATTATCCCAGTGTGATCTCGACACCTACGAGGAATGGGCCAACGACACCTGGCAGAACACCTTCGCTTCTGGCTTCAAGGTGGCCCTGGAGCAGAAGGACACTGCTAGTGCCTGGCAGCTTTGTGAGGCCTTCGATTCGGAGTGCCTCAAAATGAGGCTGGACTTGGCGGGCATTTGAGACCCGAAGGCCACCTCTGGACGTGGAAATGTGCCCTCGGTGATACAGTGCAAGCCTTCACGACAGCGGGCCCCTGGCTATGATCATGCTTGGAACTCCTTTGTTGCTTGGTTAGAGTTTCTCTTCACCTTGCACGCGATGGACTCCTTTGCCTCCGGCCTTCAGCTGGAAACTGAGTGGCGTCTCGGCTACGCTGGCTACAAGGGCTTCCTTTCCCACCTCTTAGGTCTTGAGTGCTCGCTCCCAGAAGGTGTGACTTGGTGGCAGGAACTACGACTGCGGCTTGACGTGGCCATCAAGGATAGAGCCGAGGCAGTTGTGCAACGCAATGCTAGCGCAAAGACCGCCTGGGCCACGAAGATGCGCTCCATCGTCCAAGCCTGCAAGCACCTCAAGGGTCCACAGCTGAAGCAGACTAGCCACTTAGTTGACAGAGACTCCGGCGAGATCGTGGTGGTTGTCAGTCGCATGCATGACATGTTGTTGAAGGCCTGGCAACCTCTTTTCTCCATGTGTGCTACTAAACCTGAGCCTGACTGGCACGACTTTGCCAAGGAGTACGCCGCTGAACTGCAGGACTGGCACGCAACTTGCCCTGATGCCCTCCCTGCCTCGGCTCTTGCGCATGCTGTTCGTACGAGGGGTGCTGACAAAGTTGGGGGCACTGACGGCTGGGCCACGGCAGAAGGCCACTTACTTCCGGAGGTGTCCTTTTGGGCACGCCAGTCGTGCCTGGAGGCTGTTACGCAGGGCTCTGATTGGCCGCCTCCCTTGCTCTTCGGCACGGTGCCCTTGCTGCCGAAGAACGACTCGGGACTACCAGAAGACCAGCGACCTCTGACTTGCTTTTCGCTTTGGAACGTGGGCTGGGACAAGGCCACGTATGCTGCCACGAAGCCCTGGCTGGATGTCTTGCTTCCGGTGGCAATGCGGGGCGCGCGTGCCGGGGCCATGACCATGGACGTGGCTTGGATGGTTGCTCTGATGCTGGAACATGCTCACTGCTACTCTCAGGAGAAAGCAGGCTACCTCCTTGATAGGGAGAAATGCTTTGATCGGCTCCCTTGGGCGATCACCTTTGCCTTGGAGCAGCGTGCTGGCTTTCCCAGCTCCTGGTCGCAGGCCGACGCTCGGTTGAATCGTGACTTGCAGACTGCTTTCCGGCTTGGCCCCCTGATTGGGCCCTTCTGGAAGTCCACCAACTCCTTTCGGCAAGGGCTTGCAAGCAGTGTCAGGCGAGTTTCCCTCATCATGGCCATCTGGGTCCGACGGCAGTGCCGCATTTTGCCCAGATCCTTTGTGGGCAATTTCTTCGATGACTGTTTGGTGCTGACCGACTCCCAGGCCGAGCAGCAGCAATCCATGAATGAGAGCGACCTCTTTGACCAGCTGACGGGCCAGAGAATCGGGCACAAGAAAACTGTCGGCTTTACTGTCCCTTGTGCCGAGCCAGCGTTGAGTTCCCGAGGCCAGCTCCTCAAGCAGGTCACTGTTGACAAGCTCTTGGGTGTGCTCATCCCGATGGACAATCAGCCTGACCGCTCTCTGCAGGACAAGCGAGCCCTCGAAGCACAGACAGAGATCCACCCCATTGCCAAGCTCCCTGTGCCCTTGGAGGAGAAGGCTACGTTGCTGGCCCTCAAGACTGCTGGAGCCCGCTACGGCCTAGAGTTAGAGGAACCCTCGGCACAAGTTGCTCACGACTTTGACCAGTGTGTGTTACAGGCTTTGTGTGGGCAGCGAGCGCTCAGGTGCAACCACACCAGCATGGGCTTGGCTTGGCGGGGCCACAGACTTTTCCTGCAGATGGCCACACCGTACCAGGCCTTCGACATGGCGCGCAGGCAACTGCTACGTCTGCCTTTGGCTCAGGAGCTCTTCCGGGAGGTGTGGGAGTTCCGTGACGCTCACTCTTTGTGGGACGAGGCTGGAGTTTGTAGTCACCTTGGGAGACAGTGCCGGAAGCTTCGGTGGTCCTGGGAGGAGCCCTTTACCATCCAGACCCTCCACGGTAAGCTTGACCTCTGCTGTCCTGTTACAGGCTGGTTCCAACATGGGCTCCGAGGTGACATTCGTCAGAGCTTCTTCCTGTTCGTGCCGGACAGGAAAGACCTCCAGGGCATACAGGCGGGTGTGGACTACGAGGTCACTACTGCTTTGTTGCGGGGCTCCACGTTGGATGCGGCCCAGCGTAACCGGCTTCGTTTTCTTTGGGAAGGGCGGGTTGCTACTGAGGAGCGGGCCGCCAAGCATCGAGGTAGCGATCCGACATGCCCCTACTGCACCATGGGAGTCCCTGAGACCTCCTTGCATATCTCCCAGGAATGCCCGCGCTTTGCAGGCCAGCGCGAAGCTTTGCTGGCCCAGACCACTCAAGCTGAACGTGACACCTGGCCACCGTGCTTTTGGAACGCTGGCATCCTCCCCCTGGAGGTCTCGCTTGTTGAACTACAGCAGCAGGTGCAGCCCTACAGTCTTGAGGACCCTGAGGCCCCGGAGTACGTCAACGGCGAGTTCACTGACGAGTGGTTTCGTTGTGGCAGGTTGGTGGTTGCTGGTGATGGTGCGTGTACGAACCAAGGTACCCCTCTCGCTCGCGCTGGTTGTGGTGCTTTCTTCGGGCCGGACCACGGCCTCAACTTTGAGTTCGCGCTTGCAGGGCCGGTTCAAGACTCTGACCGGGCTGAACTTCGTGCTCTTCTTCGTGTTGCTCGGTGGACTCCCTGCTTGACTGAGTACCTCTGTGACAACGAGGCTGTTGGCACCGGCTTCGAGAAGCTCTGCCAAGGCTCGGCGCAACCCTGGGCTGATCACGGCGATCTGTGGGCTGCTCTTCGCCGGGTTCTGGATGAACGTGGCTGGGACTTGCTGCACGTCTCCTTCGTCAAAGGCCACGCCGACGTCGTTGACATTGCTATCGGACGCGCAACTGCCAAGGAAGCGCGCTGGAATGATGAGGCGGATCGTCGCGCTGTGGCTGGTGCTGCTCTCCATGCTGTACCGTCTGCTGCCAAGGACCTGTACCGACGACGAGTGGAAGTGACCAAGCTCATGCAACGCACTCTGCTTAACATCCACGAGGCGCGGACCCACCTGTGGTCCCAGCGTCAGCTACCGGAGGATGAGCAGGGCCCGAGACCTGGTGATGCTGCTGCTGAGCCTCCTGGAGACCCACCTCAAGCTGATTGTGACCAGGCCCCAGCCAACCATGACGCCCCACGGCGACTACAAGTGCAGGATGTCTTTGCCAGACCGCAGACTGCGCTGCCCAGGTACTGTTGGGAGCGACCAGATGGTGGTGTCCGTTTTGCATTGCCACCTTTGCCTACAAGGATTGGCGCTGCTCCTAACGCGCGAGATCGGCACAAGAACAACCCTGACCACCTCCCTTGGAGGTATGGCTCCGGGTTCATTGAGCCCCTCTACTGGTTTTGGGCCAGCCTTGAATGGGTTGACCAGGCGCCGGCTAACAACGAGGTTGTCAGCACCACGTCGTACTGTGAGCTTGCAATCGCCTTTCAGCTGCTTACTGGTCTGGTGCCCGATGCAGACACGACAGCAGGAGGCACTAACAAGCAGAGGGGCCACTTCTTTGCTGCAGCATCGAAGCGACTGGCCGCCATTTTAGGCTCCCAGCTTTGCCCTGGTGCCTGTGCGCCTCAACCTGACGTTCTTCGAAGGCTTCGTTTTCAGCACAGCCCTGGAGTTGAAGGCAGGTTCAGCCTGCCCAGCGACTACTGGCAACACTACTGTGCTGTTTGGGTGCGGGCCCACTTGGAGGTCCCTACTGTGGTTGGAGCTCCACGGCAGCTGAAATGGGTTCCCAACTTTGACCGACCGCCTGAGCCATTGTGGCGTAGCACTGCCCCGATTGGCTTTGAGGCTGCAAGGCGCTGGGCCCGTGCTAGAGACCTTGCTGCAGCTTTGGCACGGGTGCCAACTCCGGCTAGTGCAAGTGGCCCGTCAACAGGTCAGCCTCGTGTGTGTCTGCCTACTACAGTGCCTCCTAGCAAGAGGCTCCGTGGCAAGCAAGGCGCTGAAGCAGTTGGAGTTGTTGCGCCTGCTGCTCCTCTACCGAAAGCACGTGCTGCTACTAGGTTGCCTAGGCTTACTGTGGAGGCCCTCACGGAAGCCGAGAAAGCTCAACTCCAGGGCCTCACCGGTGTTCGTAAGAACCAGATGCTCAAGATGCTCCACCACAACCGTGATGCTGTGGAACGTGGCAAGCATTTCATCGTCGTTGGGCATGAAGCTGATACCATCGGTCAGCTGAAGTGCAGAGACTGTGCCATGCAAGGCAGATGGGCCGAGTGGCCCTACTTTGCCGTGAGATCCGCTTGCAAGAGAGGGTCAGATGGAGCCCCCTCTGCGTCGACAGGCCGAGCCAGCTCCTCGCGAGCGCGCTAGGTCTTCTTTGGCTCGTTTTTGGCATGTTTTCCGGCTGCTGATGCACTCCGCAGCCGTTGGTCGTTTGAGTGAAGCGGTCCAGCATGGTGGCTGCTATCACATCGAGTTCACCCTGACAGACAATGTCAAAGCCAAGATCCAAGACAAGGTGCCTGGTTTCCATTCTTAAAGTGTTCGTATTCTTGTTCCGCTCACATCGAATGGCAGGGCTGCTTTACATGCATTGTGTTGAATTGAACCCCAAGCCTGAAAAAGCAACCCCAACCTAGGCCGTACACCTGTCAACACACCAGCAGCAAGATTCAATTGAACTTCTGGAACCCCACTTTGGGCTGTTCACATCAGTTCACTTACACCCCCTTCTTGGGCTGTTCACCGCGAAGACATGACATAATAATAATAACGTTTAAGCTAGCAGCATATGCGATAACACAAAACAGTACAAGCTATCATATCACCAGATATCATCAGACGACAAAACATACGACAATATGGCACAAGACATAAGAATCACAAGAAACATAGTAATGCGCACCATGGCATATCATAAGATAAAGTACCAGGTATCAGTAGATAGCCGATAGCGCAGTTCTACATAACATAATGTAGCATCACCTTAGACAACAGAATGCAGCAGAGAATAAGAGAAGATAGCAGTATGGCAGAACCAGCCCCAACCGGCAAATATTCTGCTACTAAGAAGAGGGTTTTGGGCTTCGGGTTGAGGAATGAAGGTAGGTCTTCAGAAAGCTTTGCGCAATTCTTGCGAAGACCTTGAGAAGGTCCTGGGAAGGCCTTGACACAAGAGGGGCATGAGAAGGCCGTGAGAAAACCTGGCAAGCCTTCAGAGCCCCTCAAGGAAGGCCTTCAGAAAGCTCTGGGAGGTATAGAGAAGGTACGGGGAAGGAATTGCGAAATGATCCTGGCACATTCTTGAGAGCACCCTGGCAAGAGCTTCACAAAGTCTTACAGGCCTTGAGAGGGTCCTGGGAAATACTGGGAAGGCACTGGGAAGATCTTGGGGGAAGGTTTGGGAAGGCCTTGGAAACATGTGAGAAACTTGTCAAAACAGTGGGGAAGACGGTGCAGATACTGGGATCTGCGGCTTCTTGCAATCAGTTTTTTTGAAGTCTTTTTTGAAGCGTATTTTTTTTATGCATTCTTTCATCTTGATTAGTTATCTTCTGAGAAGCTTCATAAGAAGGTCAACGTGATCCTTTTTTGGCGCTTTTAGGCGTGTGATCGTTTATTGAAATACGGTCAAGTTAAGAATACTGTATGCTGAAATGTCTTAATGTAACACAGATGAAAAGTATGAGTTTACTCTTGAACAATTTTTTTCTTTTTGGAGGTTAGCTCATGGACACATTTAACTCTTCGAGGTTTTGTCTGGAAACTCTTTTCTTCAACATTGACAGATAGATGGAGAGATAGATGGATGGATAGATAGACAGACTGACATATTGAAATCCAGAACATCGAAAACCCTGCGTTTTCAACAAGGCATTTGGATTTAACATATAGCTTTTGTGTGTTTTTGTTTTGTTTGTGTTGTTTATGCTTCTGTAAATTTATACTTGGGTGTCGGGTGCAAGGTTCAGGGTGTAGAGTGTGGATGCGGCCCTGGAACCCGGTGCCCCCGAACAATCCTTGCAGAAGCTATGCCGTCCACGTCCGGGCGGCTTGACTGAGGCAGATGAGGAAAAGTTTGAGGATTGGGCAGACAATACCTGGGACAAGGATTTCGCTGCTGTCCATGCGGCTGCGCTTGCCACAAGTGACAGCAAAAGCGCCTGGCAGCTGTGCGAACAGTTTGATGCTGATTGTTTGGCCACTCGGCTGGAAATCGTTGGGTGCCCCGATCCTTCTGCTTGCATTGGTCGCGGCCTTGTGCCAAAGAAGGTGGTCATGCATCCAAATCATCGTCTTCCTAAGGGTCGCGATTCGATGTGGCGCAAGTTTACAATCTGGCTTCAATCAATTTTTGACCTTGCTGAGGCGGGCAGGGTTGAAGCAGATCTACAGCTTGCGACTTCCTTGTGACTGGGCTCAAAACGTTTCTGCAGCTTCCTCGAGCGCCTTCTGGCCATAATTACCGAGTATCGACACGAACAGCTGTGAGTGGTGGCAGGAATTGCGTCTTCGGCTTGATGCTGCCCATAAGCTGCGTCTGGAAGCCACTGAGTTGTGTGAAAAACCTGCGAAAGGAAGTGGGTCAAACTGATGCGTAACACTGCTGAAGCTTGCTTGTCGTCACTTGCATGGCCAGAATACCAAGCGCACAAATCACTTTGTTGACAACATTACTGGCGAGATTGTGGTTGCTGTTGAAAGAATGCACAACATGCTGCTTCAAACATGGCAACCCCTCTTCCGTCTTTATGACAGCAAGCCGGAACCTAATTACATGGCAGGACTTTGCTGAGGAATATAAAGATCAGCTTGATGGTTGGCACGCTACTTGCTCTGATGTCCTCTCTGAAGACTGTCTTGAAAAGGCCACTCGCAGCCGCAATCCGGCCAAAGTTGGAGGCACTGATGGTTGGACTACCCGCGATGCCCACCTCCTCCCCGGTGCTTCCCTTCGAGCTCGACAACGATGCTTCGAAGCAATACTGGAGGACCCGCCGTGGCCTCCCCCGCTACTGTATGGCACGGTTCCTCTTGTGCCAAAATCGGAGTCAGGGCTGCCCGAGGAGCAACGCCCTCTCACTTCTCTCTCGGTGTGGGCTGTTGGCTTTGACAAAGCTACTTACAGCCTTTCGAAGGATTGGTTGAACGCGCTCATGCCGTACGAGATGCGTGGTGCGAGACCGGATGCCATGACATTGGACATTACGTGGGCCATCACGTTACTGCTCGAGCACTCCCATTGTTATCCGCACTTCAAGGCTGGCTATTTCCTGGACCGCGAAAAGTGCTTCGACAGGCTCCCTTGGAGCATCACTTACGAGCTCGAGGCCAGCATGGGGTACCCGATTGCTTGGACTGCAACAAAGAGCTCCTCACTGCTTTCAGATTGGGACCTGTCGTCGGACCATTCTGGGCCTGTACAAACGCTTTCAGGCAAGGTCTGGCTTCCAGCGTCCGCCGTGTTGCATTGCTGATGGGAGCTGGCGCCTCACGCGGCCCTTCGTTGGTAACTTCTATGACGACTGCCTTGTGGTTGCCAACACCGAAGCTGAGAGACAGTTGTCGATGGACGAAAGCGACAAGTTCGACGAGCTTACGGGGCAAAAGATCTGCGTCTTCTTGCAATCAGTTTTTTTGAAGTCTTTTTTTAAGCATATGTTTTATGCATTCTTTCATCTTGATTAGTTATCTTCTGAGAAGCTTCATAAGAAGGTCAACGTGATCCTTTTTTGGCGCTTTTAGGCGTGTGATCGTTTATTGAAATACGGTCAAGTTAAGAATACTGTATGCTATAATGTCTTAATGTAAAACAGATGAAAAGTGTGAGTTTACTCTTGGACAAGTTTGACTTTTGGAGGTTAACTCATGGACCCACTGGTGAGAAAAGGCCTGGAGATTTCCCTGGGAGTGCCGCCGTGAAAGCCAAGGCTTCGCCGAGTGCCCTCCACGGCTTGACTAGGGCCTGTGAGCGCTGCGACTCCGAATGAGACTTTGGTTGCATGGGACGAGGTGCGCTATGACAAGGCTATGAGTGATGTGGTTCCACTTGTGCCTGGTTTTCCCTTGAAGAGCAATTCAGCCGTTTCGCCACCTGCTGTCACCACTTGTGGTTTCTTCGTACAGGGTGACGGTGCCCGGCTTGAGATGGATGGTTTTAGCGAGCGAGGCCGACGACCTTTTACCGGCCCTTCGCTCTCTTTGTGCAGAACTACGGCTTCGAGATGCTGTTGGTTGCCCTCTCGTAAGCTTTCAGTCCTATCGAGGCCTCGGCCTCGACCTTCGTCCAGGGCCACCGGTGGCTTTCGAGATTTTGGGTTCTTCTCGGCTACTTGGAGATTGTTGGTTCGACATGTTGGCCTTCTCCTGTTCCTTGGCCTCTTTAGTTTCGACCTCGCCACTTTGGCGACGCAGCCTGTCAGTTGGCAGGTGAGTTTTCTTGGAATTCGTTTGGGTGAAGCGGAATTGCCTGGCCATCGTCGCAGAGCCGCGGAGGGCTACAGTCTTGTCAGGAAGGCGAACAACCTGACGCTTCGCTCCCACAACATGGGTGGATTACGCAGTTGGGATAAAAAATCTCAGTTATGGGACGAGGATGCTGCTGATGTGCTTGCAATACAGGAGACTTGGGCTGATGCCAAGGACATCCTCGACGGCCAGCGACACCTTGCTGCGCACGGCCTGCGTTCTTACTGGAGCCTCCCGGGCCCCGCCCGTGGCCAAGGCTCTGGCACATGGTGGCGGCTCTTCGGCCCGTGGTGTCCAAGGAGTTCTTCACCGATGGCTTTGACTCTGAGATGGACCATCTTTGGGCTTCCACGCGAGTGGTGGGCGCCTGAGTTGAAACCAATCAGGTTGGTAATGGATTTGCAGTCCTTTCCTTCTATGGAATAGCGGGGGCCAATGCTTGCAGCAACAAGCACATTGAATCGGAAAGACAGCTTTTGGCTTTGCTGTGCCACGTGGGGGCCTACAAACATAGGCCCATCTTCCTGTGCATGGACTCCAACCTGTGCTTTGAGAAGAGTGCAACCATGCAAGCCCTCGTCAAGCTGCCGGTGCGTGATACGGGTTGGAAATCGAGGAGCCCTCGCCTGCTTGTGCATGCAGTCTTGACCAACAGGTGCTGCAAGGCCTGTGTGGCTACCATGTGCTTCGTTGCAAAGCCATTGCCATGTGTCTTGCACGGCGAGGCCATCGCCTTTTCCTCGAAATGGCGGTGCCGTTTCAGGCTTTTGACACTGCGCATCGCCAGTTGCAACGCTCCTCTCTGGTTCGAGATCTTTTTTGTGAGGTTTGGGAGTTCAGGGATGCTCATGGAATCTGGGAGGGCCCGGTTCAGATTCCACAGTTGCGTGTTCGTTGCCATGCTTTTCAACATGTCCAGTTTGTTGCCTAGAGCAAAATTTCAGCAAGTCGGCACATGGCGGCACTCATCATGTAATCTATTGTGATGTTCGTTCTTTAATCGAAGACTGCACTCTCTTGAAAAAACAAAATTTTACAATCTGAAATTGTTAAGCCCAACAAAAGCCTTCGACATTTTCAACATTAGGAATGCCGGGCTCGAAAGATTAATTGGTTTGGGGAAGCTTGCAAACATTGCTGTATGCAAAAAAATGAAAAACTCAATAAGTTCGCATTTCAAGGTTCATCGAAAATCATTTCAGTGTCATTCATCATCCGTTCACAAGCACGTATGGCAGTGTTTCCATGTTGTCAAAGCTTCCGCTTGAGCGAAGCAAAGACACTGTTGAATCTGATTTGCAATGGTTTCAGCATCTTCTTTCAAATATTGAAAGTCTTGACATCCGAAGTACCAGGATCCCACAGAAACTAAGTGTTGTTAACTTTAAGCATATTAGATTTAAACAGACTTTAGGGTCCCAAATACATAATGATACGACAACACTTCAAATTATCGGCTGGTGGCACAAGGAGGGTATCCCGCCTGACCAGCAGCGCCTCATCTTCGCTGGAAAGCAGCTGGAAGACGGGCGTACGTTGTCAGACTACAACATCCAGAAGGAACAGAGATGCCGATTTGGGATGGTTTTTAGTTTCCGTTATTGGTTGATTATCGCACGCTAAGTCTGATGAGTCGTTGTGGGGGCTTGTTGAAAATCGGTACTTAGGAGAGCACCTTGCACTTGGTGTTGCGCCTCCGTGGTGGCATGCAGATC